ATTAGGAAAAAAATAGTGACTTTATTAATTTTATTAAAAAAAATATGAACGTTTTAGGAAAATATTATCCAAAATACAATATTCAAAGTATTACAACAAATTACCTTACTCTATAGTTTTATAGCATAGACATACATTAAGTATAATTAAAGTGTCCAACCTACTCCTCATTTAGAATTTTCATATCGATCGATGATGTTAACTATTTTTACCTTCAGAGCAGTGTGAACGGATAAAAAAATTCATCGAAAATCTAAATTTTTAATATCTCTAATTTCAGTAAAAAAAGGATTGATATCAAAAAATTATGTGAAAATATAATTATAGTGCGTTAGATTGGTTTGATTTGTAAAAAAAAAAAAATCGTGCTATTGAAAAAAAATGACTAGTTTCATAATTTAAAAAAATTAAATTACATGTGATCGAAAATTATTTTGGTCGTAGAACAATGGTATCATAAATAACAATTCTGAGGTTTTCTCGAGGGATTGCGATGAACTATAATCATATGTGTGTAGTGAGTTAATAACAAAAAACTGTTAAGCACCACTGGAATAATTGTCGAATAATCGTCGAAGAACGTTGATTAGCGCATCGGAGGATGTCGTGAGCAAGCACGTTTTACTTGCAAAATTTCAACGTAAAAATGAATTGTCTTTTTCTGTCAGATGCACTTTTTTTACGCAATGATTTTACAGAATTTCCAATCACAATTATTTTTTGTTGATTTACACAACGAAGCTATGTTTTACATAACACCGATAATTGGACATTTCCCTTTGAAATACGCAGAAAATTCGAAGTAATAATAACTAGACTAAGAATTGGACACACAAAAATCTCCTACAGTTTCCTAATGTCCAAAGAAGAAAGACACAACCCACCCAAATCACTATCAGAAACTCTATGCAATCACCCTCAATCCATTGCCAACATCATTCAATTCATCACAGCCGCCTATCATAATAATATATCCAAAATTTAATGTTCACCGATTTAGGAAACACTGAATTTCTCGGCCGGATTTGTTTGGAATAAATCGATTTTTTTTTACAAACTGGTGGTATATGAAAACACATTTTTCGATACATTTCAAAAAATTTTGAGAATTTGGTCTGCACATGCGCAGTAAAAACTTTTTTTTTTAATAGCAACACCTATTTTTAACACCATATTCGGATAGGCCTATTTTTTAAAAGTAATTTTCGTTTATCAACTATGGCTCTAAGTTCAATATTGACTGAATAAGAGCCATGTAAATTTTATTAAATAACCAAATACATTTTTAAACATTTATAATTATTGCATTGAACAATTTATTTAATTTATTGTGTAATTATAAAATAACTATTGTTCACTTGTTGTACCTAGTCGATTTTTAATAAATAATGTTGTATCCATATTATGTTAGTCTTGTTTATAACATTTCTAAAAAAAATACGTACAAATATTCAAAAAGTTACCAATAAGAATTAATTAAAAATGTATTATTTAATAAAATTGACATGGCTCTTATCCAGTCAATATTGAACTTAGAGCCATAGTTGATGCATGAAAATTACTGGTGTTGCTATTTAAAAAAAAATTTTGAAATGTATCGAAAAATGTGTATTCATATATACCATCAGTTTGTAAAAAAAAATCGATTTATTCCAAACAAATTCGGCCGAGAAATTCAGTGTCCCCTAAATTGGTGAATATATACCTATATACAATTTTTGTAATTTATAATTTTTGCACTGTAAGCCCAATGGCTCATGTTTCCGAGGGTATTATTATTATTATTAACTAATCACAGATCTAAAAAAAAAATATCTACTATTTAGTAAATATATTAATACCTAACTACATATTATTGTATAGATGTAAAAATGTTTGATAATAAATTGTATTATATGTTTTACTCCAAATCATGAAAGTTGTAAAAATAAATTTTTTTAAATGACTATTACAGTAAAATTTATTGAATCTACTATCGAAAAGCAAAAAACTGAAATAATAAAAAGTGGGTAGGTAAGTGAGTTGATATCGCTCTGCTGTACAGTAGATTACAAGTCGGTTACTGTAATGGATGGTATTAAATTTGAATTCAATGGTATAATATTTTTTGTCAAACTTCGAACTTTCAATGCTTATAAAAAAATTGTGACTATCTATTTTTGACATTTTATCAGAAGTCTTGTATTACATCTTCAAGTTTTGTGACCCAACGAAAAAGATTTTATTGTCATTTATAAAAAAAAAAAACTAAAAAGATTGAAAATTTCAAATGTCTATAAATAACTTAAAAAGATTTGAAATATTTGAAAAAATTTATCATGTATAGAAAATGTCAGTATAAACATTCAGTGAAAATTTCATGTGTCAACGGTAATTTTTGTAGAGTTACACCAATATCTAAAATTGATTTCCTTAAAAATTGATTTTGCATAAAGATTCTCGTTTATGCTTAATTTTTTTTTTGGTTTTTCCGGGTGCTTTTGAAATCTATTGGGAATCTTGAAATTTGACCCCTCAAAGCACCAAATAGATTCTTTTTTTAACAGGGAAAGCAACTGAAGTTGAAAATCAAAGCATTATTTCGACAATTTATCGTGACACAGATACAACATTACAAAATAATACATTCATCGCTCCGCGCAGAATATAAAATTAAGATAATATGAATGAGGAGAGTAAATTTCATTTTAAAAATAGTTCAGCGCAATAGTGATATTGTCAGTAAAAATGTAGAAATATTATGTTGTTCAGCATCAGTTTTGGTGTTAAAAATATACCAGAAAAATGCGTAGGAGTATCAATATTGCAGAACCGACGCGCCGGCATAGATATTATTACCAGCGTGGTGTGTTTATGATCATACAGTGCGATTATTTTGATGGTAAACAATCTTTACGCTGAAAAAGTCACAGTAAATTTCAATAAATTGAGTTAAATACGAAGAATTTTTAAGGTGGATTATTCCTGTAACAGACTAATTAACTATTCGTTATAAATATTGTAATAAATAATAAATATATACAAAACAAGAATAGGTTTTGATCATAATTTAAATAATTCCTTCAAACATTATTGCAATCAATTTACGTATAATATATGATATAAATAAGAAATTTTTGAAAAAAAAATAAGTATGATTATCATTTTTTTTTTTTAAATTAATTATCGTGCAATTTATTTGGCCAAAAGATTAACTTAAAGTACTCATTTAGATTTAACCATATAACTTGGGTATTTTAACTTTTGCAGTCTTATGTTTTTGCGTATTTTTATTATTCGGTCAAAAAAGTGAATAGCTTATACCGCGAAATGTATTTCATGACCTAATTTATTCAATTTTGCATATTATGGCATATATTTGCATTTATAGAGCATATTTCAGGATTTTGTTCATTTTTAATGCATATTGTTGCATATTATTTTTAAAATTACGTACCTACCGAAAAAACGAAAAAACGAAAGAATTAAATTATATTTTTCACATCAAACGTCTTATTTTATATTTGGATAGAAAAAAATAAGACCGACGGGCGACGGCTATACCATGAAAAATATATTCTCACCTAATAATTATGATTTTTCCTTTTTAGTTCATTTTTAGTTCATATTAATTTCTTTTTTTTTAAATAATATACCTATAGAATAATATATTGATATTTTTTTCAGGACATTTCAGAGTACATATTTGGTTGGTTATTATTTTATTAAGGCATTTAGTTTATTCTACGATAGTTCTAAACGATAAATTAATTATGAAGTCTTTGAATCTGTGGTTAGTGTACTATAGCAATGTATAATATACTGTACATCTGGTGATTTAATAACGCCTACCAGTTTATTGAATTATTATTATAATTATGGACCGGGCAAAATAAATTATACTCACTTTGATTGACAACTGACAAGTGGCTCATCGGTAATATTACTTAATATACGCTCACCTTACGCCAGGAAAATGACACGCGTGATGTAAACTGGTAGAAATAGAAAATAGTAGGTATATAAATTTAACTCGTATCGCCAAATCAGCAATGATGACGAAAAGTCCGAAAAGAGATACTTTTAATTTTAAATTTATCTACATAATATTATTACTGTAGGTATTTATAATACTAATAATAAAGTTTATGGGATATCAATATGAAAATTCAAAATTCAAAATGTTAAGAAATCAACTAAAAATTAAATCCTTATTTAATAATATTATAAAAATATAAATGTGTTGTTATTTAAAAGATTCGTTTAAATGGTTTTTCTATGTTTCGTAGTCATACTTACCCAACAGCGTTCATCGACATAATAATATAATTATTATGTTGTCGGAGGAGGAGGACCACAGAAAACATTGCGCCCTCGGGCCCATCGAAGTCCACACTCACGATTTCGCCGAAAAAGGGTGTGTTAGCGTACTGGGAAAGGCCATCTAAAGATTGAAAAGTTCGGTGGACCAACTACGTCTTAACCAAGTGTCACCCCGTATACAGAAGTCGATAGAGACGCGCTTTTAAGGAAACTTTTGCAACTCGCAAACTCTATATCTGTTGTTCGAGCAGCTGTCGGATTGGAAGTTGACAGTGTACGCTGTAGCGGATCACGGGCAGACGCTCGCCATTCACATTTGTACCGTTCTGTTTATAGCAGATCACATCTTAACGCCCAATAATTCACTTCCCCGTGGGAAATTTCCTAGTCATCGTCCGATTCACGTCAACTTCGGACGTTCTCCGTGCTGTTGGAAACGTATTATTATAATCGTGGTTCAACAATCGCGCCGAATCATGTTTTAGATTATCTGAATTATAATGTAGGTATTTTTCGCAGAAGGATCAAAGATTTATCACAAATTTTTTTTTTTTTTTTTATTAATAGAATCAAGTTCGCGGCTACTATGGCCATTGGACGAACATTATATTTACAGAATTATACATAGTAATACATTTTTATGTAGAGATACAATATATAAAGGAGAGAAAACAATGAAACATTACATTAACTTATTGTATTAGATTTTGTTAAGAAGTCCTGTGATGCGGAGAAATTCCAGGGTAGTTGTGAGATTGCTCTGCTCGGGGCTGAGTAATTCAGAGAGCTGGTCCGGAAGGTTCAAATCTCTCCTTGCTTTTTCGTAGCATCGGCAATCCGTGAGGAGGTGTTTGACGGTAAGAGGGGAGCCACAGACGGTACAATCAGGGGGTTCTCCCCTCTTCATGAGGTGTTGGTGGGTTATATGGGTATGTCCAATCCTGAGGCGAGTAATGACTGTCTGGTGTTTCCTGGATATGTTTGCAGAAAACGGCCAAGGGTATGTGGTTCTTTTGATTTCATGTAATTTGGTTGTCTGTTCTGCCCATTTTTTTTCCCATTGGTCATGTGCATCTTTAGCAATGATTCTCTTAACGTCTTGGTATGTAAAATCCAAGGACGTGAAAGAGTTATTGGCTAGGTGGGCGAGTTTGGCGGCCTTGTCAGCGAGTTCATTGCCTTCGATATTACATTATCACAAATTAAATAGGTACATGATACACATCAATTGCACCAAGAAAATAACACAACGAAAACACAAATTTCATCAATTACGTAGACTTAAAAAAATCATAAAAAAATATTCACGATTCACATCCTAAGTTTAAAGTTATTAGAAATAATAGGTACTATAATTTTATTAGACATTTTGTTTTTAATATATGAGTTTTTGTATATTATTATACTATGAAACGAGTTAAAACATATTATAGATTTTTAAAATATTGCTTTTATAATGTGCCTGTGCTAATGGTTATGCTACGTATTGATAATTTGGAAAAATGTAAAATAAATTGTAGATTTTTGGAAGTATATATTATTCCGTTTTAATCGACTTCTTATTTTATCGCAAATATATGAAAAACGTTTATGAGGTGGTACAATCGATGTTACGCAACACGTACCTATGCAATATTATTTTCAGCTAAAATTATATATTATAAAATGTTAGTTTTTTTTTACCTAGGTATTTTTAACTTGTTAAATACCCGATATAATATTTAGAAAGGCCGTCTACGAGTACGCACTAACAAAAATGAATTTGTTTTTCACATAAATGACCAGAATCACTCGCCAAATGCATTTGAAAAACAATTTTCGAGAAAATTAAGCGTTTAATTAAAAAAAAAAAAAATAATTAAAGGATAATTTGTGGAAGTATCAGGTGGTGATATGTCTGTAATAATCGTTTTGTTAGCTAGCATTTTCGCATCACACTCGCAATATATGAAGAGCACGGTGTCAGTCACTAGCCAAGATGATGTATTCGCGTGTTTAATTATATTATTACACTATATTATAGATACCTATCTAGGTAGAATAATTTAATTTTCAGTGTATTAATATAATACTATTAAACTGTAGTATGACTAACAAAATTTATGATATTCCATAAAAATTAAATTCTAAAAATAGATATTTTACGTAACATTTAAAATTAGTATATTATAAATGCCCATATTAAAGATAAATATTTTAGTTCAGTCATAGAACCCGTTAAATAGGAAATAGAAATCCAACATAACATGTTTTATAATTTCTTAAATTTATTATGATTATACTATTAAGAACTTAGGATTTATTGCAATAAAAATCTCTAAGATATTTAAATATTGTGATTAATAATTATTAAAATTATTAAAATATACAACTTAAATTTTTTCTCGTATAGAAAAACCTATAGTAAATACAAAATGTGAAATCGTGAAAAAATTATTTTAATGGTTTTTTGTCTCAAATTTGTATACAATTTGTCATAAAAATTTAGAATAGTCGTTGATAGTCATGGAACGTAGTATCCAGTCACATACATCAGTATTTAATTCACGTTTTTTATGATCTACAGCAGTAGTATGATTTAGAGAGTTCAAACACACTAGCCCTTATTCCGTGCGGGTCAATGCCGCGCACTGCCATTCCTGTGTATGCCATTCCATGGCTTTTTCCAACACATTACCTATACATTTTTTACCCTTTAACGATCATGTACCACCCCTTTTATTTTCTCTTATTGAATAAGAAAATTAAATAATATACTATCATTTAAAACATACATTTGAAATATTACATAAGAATTAATAATATTATACAACCATGGTTTGAAATTCCGAAAATCCTATTACTAAATGTGAAAGTGTACAACTTTTAATATTTTTTTTATTTAATGATGATCTGTATGTAATAAACAAAACTATTAAATTTATTTAGATAAATTTAAATTAAGCAGAGAGATGTCTACAATATCATCAGTAATAGTACAATCATTCTAGCAACAATTAGCCATTCTCCGTGCTTTAAATCATTTTTACACTGTTTAAAAAAATTAAATTTTCAAGTGTTTCTAAACATGGCTGGTTCAATCACGGATAATGTAGCTAGGTATATACAATAAATCATTAATAAACATACCACCAACACCACCTTCAAAGCGCATCGACTCTACGAACTATACGTTAAACATCGCGAAACGTAAATTTATGCATATTGGGATCGATCCGAGTGATATGTTCAGAGTTGTAGCAGTGCATACAGTAACACCCTCGTGCTATGTTAATATTTAAATTGAGTTCCTAGAACTGAAATTCTCGATAAGTGATAATATTCTATCATTTATTTTAGAGCAGCCAAGAAAAAAAACCCATATTTCTTGAGACAGAGAATTTAAAATTATGCTAGATAAATGCATAACGGGAAAAACGCCTTAATAATAGAGTCTAATATACACATAATGAATACCGAGTTCTTTTAAATCATGTGGAACTTATACAACTTCAATATCTATAATGGTTTGAAATAATTATACGAAAATCAACTATCATATTATGCAACTAATCGTCTTAAATCAATTTGAAATATTTAATGAATATCTCGATAGAGAACTTATCAAAGTGGAATCTCCACCAAGAACTAGTGAAGAAATGATTATATATTCATTAAAAATTTACGTGACGATAATATCATTACAAGCAGTCATAAACATGATATTAATTTCATCAGTCAGCTCATAATGTATGCATTAACACAATTAGTAGAAATTCTATACAACGTTGGAATAGGGAAATAACGCCAGAAGTATATCTAATTTAAAAAATATATTTATATCACTCTTATAAATAATTGATACATCTATTATTTAGTTATTTGATGGAAGACAAGATTAAGAAAGCTACGGTGTAAGATCAATATGACGCACTGCAATAAGAATACAAAAGATTTTTATCCGACAAAAATCACATTAAAATATTTTATGTTAAAGAAGCGCTGCGACGGCCGTTTCGAATAATTATTGACGCAGTCGTACAAAGTTACAACAAAATAATATTAATATAGTTTTATTATTATTTTTTGTAAATCAATCGTTTTGTGTACGAACGATTGTCAGAAACCCTTTTATGCGTTTCTGTCGACCGTTTAGAATGACTATCGGGTGAATGGTGAATACAGACTTCCGGATATTCATTTTTCACAACAATAACCGACAAACACACATCATAATAACAACAATGTTCTGCGGCATCAGTGTATTATTAACTTCGTAAAATATGTCACAACATAAAATTGTGATTTTGTTCTCATAAGTAGAGATTATTGTTTTAAAATATAATATTATATTATTATACTAGTACGTACAAATGCTACATACTTTAATGCTTTTATTAAATTGTTATTGCTCAACGAAAGGAAATCTCAGTAACGTAACAATATTATTATATTATAGTTTTCCATCACTCAATAACTACTACAGTCTTGTTAAGAATACTTTTCAAATATATTAAAGATACGTATTAAAATACTTCCGTTTAAAATTATTAAAAATACTTCAACACATACATTATTTTAGTTTAATAAATTTGAAACATTTAACTTGAAAATAAAGACTATTTAAAGATTCAAGATAAAAGCCAATCCAACCAAGTGTGGTGGTCTGTGTATGTCATGGTAAGTGGGACTAGTGGGAGTGAAGGGCTGATAGGGGGTATCAGTCATTCTGTTATATACTTGTATTTCGGCAAAATCTAAAATCTCATTTATAAATTCTCAAAAGTTAGAACCATTATAAAACAATATTTTAAAAACAAAATCTAAAGATATGTATATAGGTAACTAATCTGTATCATATCTACTTATTGTGTCCAAGTGATGTAGATCGTAGATTGCATTAAAAAATAAAAATTCTAAAACAGACAACAGTACATTACCTAAGAAATATTGGGAAATGGAATTGCGGTAGAACACTATAGAATGAAAAAAGTATTTTTTAAGTATTTAAAATATAAGTATTCCAATACTTAACAAGACTGCTCAATAATGTTTTTAACTATATAAATCACCCAGTGGATACAATAATAATGTTTAAAGCAGTGGTTTAAAACAAAAATTACCAGCTGGATATGTATTTATAATACGTCAAAGGTCCACGGGCGGAACACTATATTTTAACCTTTTTTTAAAGGTTTGAAGAAATTAATGTCTGATTTTTCTGAAAGTATTAAGTTATATTTAAAGTTTTATTGATATTTTAAACAAAATAAAATGGACTATGGTTAACGGTAGAATATTTAAAATATTGTACGTTTGTAAGTCGGAAACAACATGTGCGAGTATAACGTCCTCGTAATAAATTCTTATAAAAAATGTTCTGCATAGGTTATTTAAATTAAAAATATGTCATTTTGAAATGAAAAAAAATATATTTAAAGATATTTTTTTTTTAATTTTAACGAGAAATATACAATCTGTACCTTTGGGCACAATAAGAATATGTGATATAATATTTTTAATTAAAAGATATGATATTAAAATGTTTACAGTTTTTCGAAAAAATCGTTTTGTAATCACTTCGACTGATTTCAAGTAATCCATAAATGACGACTTTCAAAAACGTTCGAGAAGCTATTTTCAATAGATTTTGTGTTTAGCTCTAATTGAATTACATTACCTATTGTATAATAAGTACTTAACATATTAAGAGCTTTGTGCATTTGTATATATTAAAAATTAAAAACAAATCTATAATCATTTTGAAATCGAGTATTGTTTTAAATGAGATAACATCATAATATTATAAGACTATGCTGGATATATCGATCGATGTCTAATGGGTTTTAACTTTTTACAAACTAAGTCTAAGACTTGTATTGTTTTAATCGAATGAATTGAATTGAATTGAAAATCAATATCATTATTTATTGTATACGTGTCAATCGAAAATGTCTAACTCAACACGTATTTTAATTTCCTTTGTTATCGCATTTTATTCCACGACCATTTTAAGTAAAATCTGTTATGAGTAAAACTTTAAATTTTAATACAATAACAGGAATTGACGAGCTCTTAATATTTACATAGTTTKGTTTTATCACGTTTGTTGTTGGTACTCGTACTTATACACTAAATATTGTTTTCATCGATAAGACACATTATTATTATGCTTAACAAGATGATCTTTAGAACTAATAACAACTT